AGTCCTCAGACTTACAGCACAATTGGTTCCTGAAAACCATGTCTTAAGGTGAAACATTGTAGCTCAGAACTGTTTTTTCCCATAGGAAACAATGTTATAAATGTGGCGTTTGTTCTTTTACCAAGGCCCAATACCTTATTTTCACTAAAAATGACCCAGAATTTTGTACTCAGTCAATTATAGATGAGTAATATAGCTACATTAATGTATTCACATTGTAAATAGCAATCGTATTGATTTGGAAGGACTTTTGAGGAGACTTTGCTGGACATTTTAAAGGACTCTTGGTTGGATTTTTTTTGAAGGGTTCTTGGCTGGAGTATTCTCAGGAGTTCTGGCTGCAGGTTTTTCTGGAGTCTTGTAAACTGACATCAGAAAGTTGAAACAGGGTGTCAGTTTAGAAACGTTGTAAATGTGAAACGTTGTAAGTTGAAACTGTACACTGAACACTGTACACTGAAAAATGTTTTTTGCAGAATGGAGGTAGAGGAGGCCAGAAGTGACAGAAGTGAGATGGGGAAGGACCTTTGGTGACAGTACATGTTTGTGTAATTGCTCCTGTCAAGTAGTTTGGAGCCCAAAATGTGCTAGAAACTTTACACGTACAGAAGAAGATGCGATCCCTCTGCATAAAATCCCGGATGTTTAGAAATGACTCCCACCGATCTCTCTCTCTCTCTCTCTCTCTCTCTCTCAATAATAAAACATATCAAGAGAACCAGCTTAGGCTAACAGTAAGATGCGCTTTGAACAGCTGTGTACTGTGGAATAGACTCCTGGGGAAAATAGTGGTTTTATGTCAGGAGAGTTAATTTGTCAGTCTGTCGTCATGGAAGTGTAGATGTGTGATACAGCTACAAATGCCTATGGCAACAAGTGTCAGGGTTTCTTTGGTGATGACACTGGTTTTAAAACATAACAGTAATAATAAAGGGAGCAAAATGTGGAATAGCTAACTGCCAGCTGTGTGAACAGACCTAGGTAGCAAGTATAACTTGGGATCAAACGAAGTTACTCCAGACAGCCTAAAAAGTCAGGAAGGCTTTGGAAAATTAAACCACTTGTGTCGCTCTCCAGCTCTAGAATGGTGATAAAGCTCTACTCATCCTCATTTATACACTGTTTGCACTCGTTTGGAGTTGCTTCTCACAAGTTGAGAAGTACTAACCTAAATATAGAACCTGTCTTGTTTTGGAAGACATCCTTTATCCTACCATAGGCATTTCTGCTCTGCGCAGTACTGCAGTAGCTGAGTAGTAGCATTTCAATAAATAGGTCAGTTTTAAGTTTTGGTAGTGGTGTTTGGTTGCGTTTCCCCTAGTTAGTTCAAGCTCTTTCACCAAACTTAGCCTGCACAAAAACTGAATATAAAGATGAGCGTTGTGTGCAAATTCAGTTATCTCCAGCACCTGTGTGCTGCAGCCAAGAACAGAACTGCAGGATGAATAAGGGAAGAAATCAGAACACAGGAACAAACTTTCAGTAACATTAGGAGTCGTAACTTCTTTTGATCACAGGCTGAGCTGCTTGTCCTGCTGATTGCGTAACCGTAAAGTTCATCACCATTTTATGACCAAATAACAGAAGTGATGCTAAGTCTGGTACCACTGGTCATTTGAGAGTCGGCGTAAGCATAGTTGCTGCGCTGTGTTATTTTTACCTTTTAGTTCAAGTAGCGGTCTCATGGCATCCAGTGGGTTTGAACAGCTGGCAAAATGATATCGAGTCATCTGTCAGCGTGCCAGAAACTTGGTAGTGTTTTCAGGTTGCAGGTTTTTGTGGGAGGGGGTTTTGTGGGTTTTGGCTTTTTTTTTTTTTTTTTTTTCTCTCTCCTCCAGGTGATGTTCCTCTAATCTGCTTAAACTTAAAGAAATAAGCAAAACATGGGCACAGCAATTAGTTAATAGCTGAATTGTTTGTTTTTTTTTTATGTATAGGTGTTGGCAACAAATGAATAGTTCAGATCTACATATCTTCTAGTATTTCTAAGTTAGTTATGGCAGACCCAACTCCAATATTCAGAGAAAAACATAGACTGGAAAAGTGAGACACCCATTTTTTGGTGATTTAAAGCTCAAGACTGGGCATTTGGTAATTGAGTTTTGATCTGCTCTCCCTTACTGACTTCAGGAAAACAACTTCTTTCACTTCTGCCTCACTTTCCCCGTAGGCAAAAATGGCATAAGTTCCTAAGCTACAACTGAAGCTTAAGTTATTGCTGTTTGTAAAGCATTTGGAATGTTGATGTGCTATAAATACAATATTAATTATTTCCTAGATATAGAACTATTTTGCTTAAGTTTATTGCTACCATTAGCTTTTAAGCTGCCATATTTACTTGACTACCAGGCAAGTTTTTTTCCTCTAGCTGGCACAGGGGCAAAAAACCCCTCATACAAGGAAATTTCAATAAATATGTCATCTATCATTAAACTGCTGTCAAAAGCAGCAATGGAAATCAACTTTGAAGTTGTTCAAGTACAGCCAACACTGAGCATGACTATAAAACACATGGCCCCCATTGTGCAAACATGCTGATGGGAACCCATCACAAGAATAGGTTAGTGCGACCCATCTGAATAAGAGTTGTGGTAGCGCTCATTAAGCACAGTCCCCCTCACTGCTGACTCTTGAGTCATGGTGAGCCACAGCACTGCATAGAGTTCACCCAGAATTCCTCTGGTACTGCATCTCTCAGCTTGGTGCATATGATTAGCGTGGCCATGCCCTCTATGGGGTGAAGTCAGGCTTGCTTGCCCTGCATCTCATTTGCATATAGATTTTTGGAGCATCCCAGGATTGTCACAAGAATACCTAATTCCAGTTATGAATGTGGGCTAATTAGCACATGGATTTTTGGGGGGGGGAGGTGGCATTTGGAATACACATGCGTATTGAGCAGTGCTGAGCTGTGGGGTCACCGTGGCTTGAAATGCTGCTGACTGTAGAGGGGCCCAGCCCCATGAACTACATGGTGAATCATGAGATTTTGGCTTTGGTCTAATTTCATGCATAGTTTGCACTACATATAAGTAGGTGCCAAAGTGCTGCTCAGAGGTGTGTTAATGGAGTACCTGTGCTAAAACATACGGCAGTTTCAAAACAAGGTAACATGCATCAATTCTGGATAAACTAAGTGTGTGGGCAGTGTACATAAGTTGCTACAGCCATGTTTAATTTCAAGGTTCTCGTTTTCAAATTTGCTCTTCACTTCCATGTTCTCAAGGAGAACAGGGTTTGGTAGTAAGGACAGGGGGGAAGGGGATGCCAGGGGAAAACTTGGGACCGCCAGATTTATTTTCCCTGCTGCAGTAGTTGGAAGGGGACAAACTCAGGGCAGACCTCCAGTGATTTGATTCTATACTGGGAAAATTATAACAAATGTATAAATTTATCTCATAATCAGGATCATCTTCTGTTTGAGTAAATATAGTATTTAACCTATATCTATCTATATTGTTATATCAATATAAATAGATATGGGTTAGATATTGCTGAAAAAAAACCAAGGTTAATTAGCTTTGTTTGTGGACCTGGTCTGTGTAAACAAACAAACAAACAAAAAACAACAATAAATGCAAACAAACAAAAAATCATCAAAATTTAATATAGGTATTTTAATAAATGTATAAATATATACGTGCGTGTGTGTATCTCAGATAAATAACACTCACACAGACACTCATTCAGTGAGATTTGATGAGATTTTTTTACAGACCATGTCCCCAGACAAAGCTAAATCTACCTTGTTGAGTTACTTTTTCAAAGATGCTAGCAAAAGCCTTGAATAAAGACAGTTTCTAGGGCTCAGTTCTGCCTCTACATACTGGCACCTATTCATCTGAAGGCAAACTCCTGTCTTAATTGGATGGATGTATTAGGATGGGTGATTAGGGTGGATGATTAGGGATATCTATGCACAAAGATCTGTTCTTCTAGTCAGCTTCTATAGTCTTTTGAGATTTTTGGTGCCTAATCTAAAATTCAATCCCCAAAGGAATTCTTGTACCTCTGAATGTTTGTCTCTGGTGTAGCTTTAATGTCTCACGTCTGTCTCTTCTAATCTCTCTGTATTTTGAGACATAAACGAGAGCTACTATAGGAGTTTGGACCGCTCTATGGATAGAATAGTGTGGCTATAGAAGTGATGAGGTGGTAGTATAGCTGGCATCCTGTTCATTGGTTTTTCGGGTTTTTTTAAAAATCTTTCCAAACCACTTAGACAAGTTTGAGATGGGTAAATCAAGCACCTCTATCCCCTGTGAATTAATACTTTGTGCATAAAGCATTTTTTATTTTTATGGCACCTCATGCACACGTTTATGGTCTCCATTAAATTCTTCTATAATACTCTTTTCTACCTGCTCTGGTTTAACCCAAATGCTAGGTTTGTCTTGCAGTGAAAATAGTAGGTCTCTGAAAAGCGGCAACAGGAAAACTACTACCATTGTTTTATATGCATAAAACAGTGACTTTCTCATAGTGATATTGAATCTGCTGTTGTTTAGGCTATAGGGCAGCAGACAGCAGTGCCCTAAGGATAATTCTTTGTGTAGGGACTCAAACTGTATTAAGTACAAGCATTTTTACAGCTACTTAAGTTGTTTGGTACTCTGGTGTGAATAGCCCAAAAAGCCACTAGCTTCCACTGTCAATTACTATGTAGTTGATTTATTTCTCAGCTTGTACGGCTTCTGGGCATCATCCTAAGACAAACCGCTTTACAGTGTTGTTTAAAAATGAAATAGGAATCTTGATCGGGAAAGAAGAGTGTTTTCTATTCTTGCTTGCCATTTCTTTTGGGGCAGGGTGCTAGAAGGGGCACCTGGCTTCTAGGAATAAAAGGAGGGAAAACATGATTTGGGTTGAAGGTAAATTAACTCACCACCCAAAATAGGCTTAAACCTAGAAAGTGCTTATAGTAACAATGCCTGTGCTTTCTTGTATAAAGTGTTTGGAAAATATAAATGTAGATGCTTCACCATGGTTTCTTTTTGCAGAGTTGTTTCTTGACTTTGGAATCGAAGAAGCTACAAAGGTGACAGCCTACTGTGGAAGGACACAAGGTATAAGTCAGTTTTCCAACAAGGTAGGTTAACAACGAAAGCAAGACCTCACATCTCTAAGGTTGATGTAAGCATTTCTTTTGGGAGTTGATCCAGTATGATGGTGCTAGCACAGACTCTGTCAATTGTATTCAGTTTTTTGGTTGCTGCTGGGCAAACAAAGCAACGTTTAATGCTCTGGAGCACGTTTGTCTTAAAATCGTGTCAAAGGGAAATTCTGCCACTTGCCTAGTTTATTGTCTTGGCAGTGTCCTAGACTGAGTCTGTACTTTCTGTTCTTTGTTAGTGCTTTAGAAAGTGTACACCACATTTCTGAAATATCCCAGAAAGAACAGACACCTAGTCCTTCTCCCCGCTCCGTGTCCCCCCCCCCCCCCCCCAACATTTGTTATGCTGTTTGAGTACTCCGTTCATTTATGGCCCTGATATTTTCTGGGTCAGAGGGAGCATTTCTCCTTCCTTGGGCCTTTTTTGGCTTTAGTATCAACAACTTGGATCAGTGTAAAGTCTAATACATTTTTCCCATTTTGAACATGGTTGTTATCATGTTTAATTCTTAATTTCTTCAGACTAAATTGAAGTGGTCACTGTTTGAGAAACATAATAAAAATCCCCCAGATTAAATGAATAACATATCCCGAATAATTAAATTCTTAAGCGTTGGCAGCTATTGGGAATGTAAAACAGTGGTAAACTATTGACAGTGGAAAACTTACTGGGTTACTGGAAACCGTTTAAAAATGAGGTCAGACTTGACCACATGGGAAATAAAGCTAAAGAACGTCTTCTGTTAATACCAAACGTATTTAATTAAAACTTACGAAACTACAGAAAGGCTTGATTAGTTTTGAAGTGTCTTTACTCCTACCAAAACAAAAACAAAAACAAAGCTTTTTTTTTAGATTGGGAGTTGCACAAAAATTACTTGGTATTTGATATGTAATTATATCAGCCTGCTCTACCATGAACAGTGGACTTTGTGCAAAAAAGACAGCATGCGTATGCCATTAAATAAATTATACTACTTCACAGGAAATGGAAACTAGACATTTTTGCCATGTTCTCAAAAACTGAGGAGAGAGCATGGTTGGGAAGAGTGGTGTCCTAACTTCCTGGGGTTTTAAGTAAGAGACAAAGATTAGTTTTGGGTGATATATTTTATTAGACCTGCTGTATTGCTGAGATAAAGCTAGACCAGCTTTTGAATGTAGAGCATTCTTCCTCAGGTTTTAAAGGTTTCTGTAACAAGGAATTTTCTTTTGTCACTGTGGAAAAGAATCTTAAGCTCCTTGTGAGTTCTGTTGCGAGGTTCAACACTTGTAAAATATTACCCCTACCCCCGCCCTCCTTATGGAGCATTCATACCGCAACAAAAATGTTCTGCTTACTCTGCCAAGTAAGGCTCAGTAGCTCAACTGAAGCTCTAGCTGCCATTTTTTTTTATTTGAATTCTATGGTGAATTATAAATGGAAGCCCTTTGAGCTGGGAAATAAAATTCTCTCGTTAATTTGTGAGGTGTGAAACAGCCTCCTGTGCTGAAGAAAACATTTCCAATTAATAGGAAATTAGAATTTCAGATGCACAAGTTATTGTTCACCACTCAAACAAGATTTTGCAGCACATCCAGTTTGACTTGGAATGACTGTGTCAGTAATTGGTCAGTAAACCTTTCTGGTAACTGAACATGCAAAAAAACCCCAAACAAATGGTTTTGCAGCCTAAAACAACTTGCAAATTGAAGAATAATTTAACCAGTTGTCGTGAAACTTTGATATGGGAGGTAAAGTAAATCTCCATGATTTTTAGCATATATAGAGAACTTGAGACAGAAACGAAGCTGCTTGTTCTAATACACACTGAGAGGTAGGGCTCTGAGTTCTGCTTTGGGATCTGCCTTTTACTTTCTGTACTGCTACAGGGAAATTGCATGCCTTTTTTTCTGCCTCTGTTTTTTTTTTTAAATTAACATCCAGCTGTTGTTAAGGGGTTTTGAAATCTGTAGATGTGGTTAGTATTATGCTTTGCATTCCTGAATTAACTTTATTTTGAAGGAGGCAGCTACCTTAATTTGTTTTCAGTTTCTAATAAAGTGCAGAAATGGCAACCTGCAGGAAACTGTCCATAGCTGTTATTGGAGTAACCTTTAGGTAAAATACTTAACTTCTGGAAATCATGTGGCCAAATCCCATCAGAGCTGACTTGCTTTTTTCCTTTTGTGATAGATTTAACTGCATGCAACTCGGTTAACTGCTTGGACAAGACCCTTAGAAACTAGGACCTGCTGGACATTAAAGATCTCAGGGCATTTACTTAAGAACAAAGCTTTGTCTTTTAGCTCTTGGCCAGAATTCATTCTTGTTGCCACTTACCTGGCTGTGTTATGTTTGTCTGCTTGGCTCTAGTGCCTTCCACCTCTGAGGGAGCAGCATTGTGATTGTGTGGTAACCAATATATATTGTCTTGGAAAGACTTCAAGAGCCTTTGAGATGAAGAGGAGCTGTGTAAATAATATTACAGCTCTACACAGTTTCATGACCGGCTCATATTTGCCTGCTCTCTCAGCATGTTTCTTGTGGAGATGAATCCTTGGTGTGTGCTTTTGGTAAACAAATGAAGTGAAGTTGAGCTTGATGTGTGGAACTTTGCTGCCAGGATGGAGACAAAAGTAAGTTTTATGCTTTACTGCTTATTTGAGAAGCCAAACTCTGAGAATTAACGACACTCCCTGAGCACTGAAGTGAAATTTCCACAGCTCTGGAAAACCTTATTTTCTGTAGAAACTATTAGCAAGACGGAAGCAAAAGATGGTTTGTTCCATCAGGAGAACTTGCCAACTGAATCTACAGAAAGTTTCTGGATACAACTCGCTATTTTCCAAAAAGATACTGCCTTTAGTATTATTCAGGGCACTTGGGATAAAGCAGGCGTTAGCTGACTTTTAGGCATCTCCTACAGTGACAGGAACCTCAGAAAATAAAAAAGTAAAATAACCTTATGTAAACATGATTTAATTTAAATGCATCTTCTCAGTGCACACACAAATGGTTCAGTATTGTAGCTGTGCACACTTCTTTTTGTATTATTACATGCAGAAGTGTCATCATAATATGGAAATTGATTAATCGGATACAGTAATTGAACTCAATATTTAAACGTCATCTCAGTCCCTGGAAAGCCAGTCACTTTTGTATGGTTGTGTTGACTGTTCTGAGCTGAGTGATACAAAGATAGATTTGAAGAATTTGTATAAGTGCTGCTACTTGAAATCGCTGCTTCTTGAATCGCCCACAAGAGCGATTATACAAATGATGGAACTCCATTTTCCCTTGGTCTTTGGGTAAGTGCATATAAAAAGCTTTCTTATTTTCTTCATTTTTGCAGGAAGTATTTAGCCCAGGTTGCTTTGCTAGACAAGGACAGAACAAGAAATTATTTTGAACAAATCGAGCAAATAAATATTGTGACCAGACCCAGCAAACTTCCATTGTTTATGCTCTAGAAAAAGACAAAGTGCTATTACTATTCAAAATAGCTTCAACTAATGTGACTTGTTTCCAGTATTTTTCTTTATTTATAAATGGTGATCATTTACAGGGGTGTACCTTTCTTGTGACACATCATTTGAAACCAAGAAAATCACAGCCTCTTTGTTAATTTATCAGTGGTGAAAGGTTTGTATAGCTTTCATTGAAGAGACCTTTCCTGTTCATTTTTTCACAAGACTACTCGGCTTTAAATTGTGCTTCTTGTTTTAGGAGGTTCTCACTTTCCCCATGCCACAAGCTGAAAGAGCGCACCTTTCATCAGAATTTTTGAGGGCATCAAGGCAGTGCCACAACTTGACTGTGCTGCATTCATTCATTTGAGCCCTGCTTTTACTAGAGTATATTTCTTTGACGTTTTGACAACTTTTTTTTTAATGTAATGAAGAGAAAGGCCATTACGTCTTTATAAGACCATGGTCAAATTCCTCTTGTGGTAGGTTCTGAATTCATTCTGTATTGAGGTGGCAGAGCAACTAAAAGCTTGTTAGCAGGTGGGAATTGCTCCCTTCCTGCAAAGGAAGCAAAGACATGACGAGGAGATTAGATTATATGGGATTCTAGATAAAAGAACTCTTGGTTTCAGATGTTTAGAACCCTTAACCGTGACACGGGATGTGTGGCCAAGATGCAAACATTTCACTCTTCAGAATGCAGTTAATTTACATTGTATTGTACATATTTTACTGAGTTCTAATAACTTACAGATGCACAGAAATAGATGGACTGCCAGATTTGAATGTTTAATTTGTCAGCAAACACAGGATGGTTCACCCTTTCAGTAACGAGGTGCCAGAGGCTGTAAGCTGCCTCAGTGAGCAGGATAGCTGCTCTCTGTAGAGGGGCATGCAATTCTGATTCCATACTCCATCTTACTCCAGGGTAGCCTCAGCCAAATGCTTGTTGTTTAGCTGCTGATCTTCTTTGTGAACTGGCAGTTCAAACAGACTCTGTTTAAATCTGGAGTTCTGTGGCATCAATTTATGGAGTTAATTTGAGCAGGTCTGCTACTCTAAGTTGGGGCGGCAGCATACCATGATCATTGGACAAAAAACACCACCTACTATAACAGCATGCTGTTGTACTGCTGCTTGATACTTTGTCTTCCCAAAATACCTTCCAAATTTACCAGACCATTGCTCTGGCTAGATTCTTTTTGATAATTAATCAAAATTATAGCTTTGTTTAGCATCAGCACATGTGACTGTGGAAGCAACAGTTATGTTTAAACCTTTGCAACATGAGTGAATTTAGCCAGCTAACTGTAAAAGACAAAGTGGTTTGTATTATAAATAGCAGGTGGTGGGTGCTTTTCATGCAGCACTATAGTGTTACAGGCCTCTAAATCTATCACCTTATGTCAATAATCAGCAATAGTTTAATGGTTTTATAGAGGTTAGGATCAGAAGGGACCTATTAGATCATCCAGTCCGACCCCTTGCCCTGGGCAGGAATGAGTGCTGGGGTCAGATGACCCCAGCTCAGTGTCTATCCAGTCTTCTTTTAAATTCCTCCAAGGAAGGGGACAGCACCACCTCCCTGGGAAGCATATTCCATATTTTGGCAACCCTCACTGTAAAAAAAATTTTTTTGTGATGTCTAATCTGAATTTGCTCTCTTTCAGTTTGTGGCCATTATTTTTAGTTACCGCAACGGGCAGCCTGGTAAATATTGTATCCCCTATTTCTTGCTGGGCCCCTGTGATGAGTTTGTAAGCAGTCATGAGATCACCTCTCAGCCTCTTCCTGTGGAGGCTGAAGAGGTTCAAGTTTCCCAATCGGTCCACATACGGTTTTTTCTGTAGGCCTTTAACCAGACGAGTGATTAAAAATCATGATTTAATCAGATATAAGGTAGCTAAAGTTCATGATGCATGATCAGATGTTAAAGGAAGATTTTAAAGATGTGTAGGATGTTTAAGTATTATTTTAAAACATGAATACCAAGATGTGCTTATTACTGAGACTCCCAAACATTTCAGCACAAAGCCTCTGCTCCTTTTGCTCCCTGGTGCTTACTAGCCATCATTGGAATGGTGTTAGTTTGCACACTCTTATTTGTAGACATTAGACTAAATCATGATTTGGGAAGCTTAATTCAAGAGCTAAGAAATGTGATAACATGGCAGTGGCCTGGCTTGCAGAAAAAATTAGCAGGTCTCGTTGAAAAGAGCAGTTCTGAAAATATCAGCTTCAAAAATCTGCTCCCTCCATGTGGCAGTTGTTCCAAGTACACATGCAAGTCACGGAACATGGCCTAACTGTCTGTAGCAGATCATGAAGGATTGTCAGAGCCTTTTCTGTTGCCAAATAAGACCTGAGTTGGAACTGGGGGCATTGTAGCTCCCTGCTCTACTCACGGTGCTTCACATGAGTTAGAATGAGCCCCCAGCCAACACATTTTTGCTGTTTGGGGAGGGAGGTGGGATCAAGTTCCCACTTTGGAGCCTGCAGCCTCTCTCCCCTACCCCTCCTCTCCCCACTGTCCTCCCCTCAGCTCTGGGGGAGAAGGGAGGGGAGGAAGCTCTGGGCCTAGGGTTTGTCCAGCCTGAGCTGGAGGAGTGGCCTGGGCAGGGGCCACAAGGCAGGTGGGGCTGCAATTCACTTGCCCCTCCTCCAGCCCAGGCTGGATATGAACCCAGCCCTGATCTCACGCAGGGACTGACAGAAGTTAACGAAGGCACTCTACATTTTTTTTAGTGACACTTGGTGCACCTTCATCTGAACTGTCATTAGATGAGGGTTAATTTGTTGTGCGATCCGGCACTTTTAAAGCACTGCAGCTGTGCACTTGTCAGGCCACGGCTGTAAAATGTGGTCAGGGGGCTGATCACAGGACAAATGTCACTTCTGTCTGTGCCCAGGGAAACAGTCCTGTTCTTTTAAAGGTGGAGGGGGTGGGGTTTGAAGTATCCAGAGAAGGCTTAGCTGAAAGCAGGAAGGAAATGTGATCTTTGTTGTAAGCTGAGTCCCAGAGGAGCCTCCATAGCTCTCAGTGCAACACACTTGTATTTCAGTCCCTCTCCCGAACCCACGGTTTCAGTTTATGCCCCGTCCCAGAACTGCTGAACTCAGCTGTGGCAGGCAGGCCCTGGGGGCTGTGTGTGTGTTTCCTTCTGGTGGATTGCACCATACCCAATAAAGAAGTCCAAACAGTAAGGTAAGTGAGCAGCCAAGGCTGCTTTTCCTGGCTAGTGCCTCACTTCCATTTACAGGTGGCTCTTTCATTTAGAGTAAGAATAATCTTAATGGAATCTCATGCTTCAGTAATAGACTCCTTCAGAACACTTCCTGAGAATTTCTTCCAGGCTTTGATAAGAAGTAGAGAGAGGGAACTCTTGACTACTAAGGTAGTTGTACTATAACATTCAGAGGCAGTTTTGGTAAATGAGTCACTAACTCTTTTACTTTATAGAACCGTCCGTTGAGCTGTGCAAAGCTTGCAAGTGCGGCGTTAGCAAGAGGAGGTGGAAAGAATCTGTTTATTTTAACGTTGACTGAAAATAGGGGTGTGATTTAAAATTTAAAAATGTAGGAGGGTTTAGTTCACTTGCAGGAGCGAATTCTATTTATATTCCTTGCCTGTTTGGTGAAGGTTAAAGCAGCAAATGGATGATCTCCGTTGCTCTTGCAGCCAAGCTGGGTCCGAACATAGTGGCACCTGCCCTTCCTTCGGATTAAACCAGCAAGGCCAAGAGGAGGATATTGGTGTGTAGGCAGCTCAGTGTCTCTGTATACATTGCCCAGGCTCTTGTGCCCTGAAGAGGTCATTCCAGCTTCACTTTATTTTTAAGTGAGGATTACATACAGCGAGCTGTCTTGCTGGACGTAAATTCTTTTGTCTCGCGAGACAAGCAGATGCCGCCGCCTCTTCCTCCTACTACTACTGCTACTAAAGCAGCAAACTACAGAGTTTGTGAGAGGAAATTGCTTCTGGCAAGTAACCATTTTATTTTATGTGGTTTAAATACTAAATGATGCAGACACAAATAAACTGCTGGTGATAGTAAATATTTTGGGGAGGGAGCGGGGGTGGGTTGGTTGGTTGTTTTTAATGTGATTAAATAGTGTTGTAATTTTAAGAGTTTCTTTTTGTAATCTGAGGGCACTCTCTGATCCTGTCC